GCGGCACGGGCAAGTGGTCATTTGCGAATAAGGAACCTAGCGTGTTGATTGAAGGCACTAGGATAGCTTTCTCCCCTGGATCATTTGAATGAACGGGCCTTGTCAAGTTGAGGATTGGTCATATATTTGTCGGATTGTGTTCGTGCTAAATGGATGGTTGCCCAGGCGGCCACGGCATCGATGTCGAGATTGAACAGTTCGGATAGCCATGTACCACGTAAAGGCTGCCACGCTAGGGTGCGTCGAAGGGATTCAAAGCCTTTCCAAGCAGTTAGTGTCGATGGCGTGTCAATCATCAACGCTCATTTGAGCAAAAAGGTATAGCTGCCTTGAGCTGCGCACCTAAATTGGAGCCTATGTGTTGACGTATGCTGAGAAGGTGGAGAAAAAATCACGAACACTAATGTGTTAGTTAGGTTAGGTTAGGTAGGGCTATGAGCGGGAGCTCAGCTCTGTGTTGCGGGTGTGGCACGCTCGTATTGCGTGAATTTGTTTGCTACGGATCAAACAAGATAATTGAATAATGCAGACGTACGAGAGTACGTAAGGGTGCGATATTTCTGGTTAGCTAACAGCGCTCTGATTATGCTGACCGATGATCGTGAGCAAGTCTCTCTTGTCTGCGCTCGAGATAGTCTTGCGGTAAGTGTTTGAGCGGTCGACTCAATTAATTACGGTCCGCCACGCAAGGTGGAACGCAGCCTCCATTCCGTTCAAGCTCATTCTACACTCTTGGTGCAGAATATTGCTATGCCAGCGGTGAAGACACACGTAAGAATGTATTTATCGGTACTCACTCATTTTCATATGGCCTGTGCGGCAGGAGTGGAACTTCCGCAGGAGCCTGACGTACACAAGGGCTGACGTGATGGCCTAACATGAATACACAATGAGTGGGCAACATTATGACCGGAAGAGAAGCCATTCCAGCCGATTCGGAAGCCCACTTGCACGTACGCGCGGCCGGCGACAACATAGTTGACGTCGAGATCAAAACATTTCGAAGAGTCGTATATTAGACTTCTCGAAGCTGTCACGCTAGAAGATGCCATAGGAAAAATTGATCAAGGCCGTCAAGAGAAACTGGTGGCGCCGTTTGTGTCATTCGCCGAACGACACAAAAGGACACCAGGCGAATGGACAGCTGTTAGGGGTGCGCGCGGCTGGAACGGGGGGCCTGTGAACGCTCCCAGATCCCATAGGCAGGGTAAGTATAATTCATAAATGCTAATGTGTGGTGCAGAACAGGAGAGGGACGTTATCAGTTTGCTACGGGAAGTAGGAAATAGCCTATGGCCGTGGCCATAAGAATGATACAGGCATCCCATCCTGAGCTAGGCTCGAACTTACATAGAAGACGGTCATTCTTTGTGATAGATTCTGAGCGAGGCTCTCACCGTCCATGCGCACTTCGGTGTTGCCGGCCACAGCATCTGCACCAAGGTGAACGGATAAGGCATATGTGATATTTCTAGGGCAGGCATATCGATGTGAATGGCAGGGAATCAGGCCTTCGG